GAGAGACAGCGAGAGAGGGAACACAAGCAGGGGGAGTGGGAGAGGGAGAAGCAGGCTTCCTGCAGAGCAGGGAACCCGATGCGGGGCTCGATCCCAGGACCCCGGGATCACGACCTGAGCCGAAGGCAGATGCCCAACAACTGAGCCACTCAGGCGCCCCACCCATATCCTAATTTCTAAGGACAGAGTTACTGAGGGAAAAAATGCAGCATATGAGGCAAACTACAGCACATGATGAGGTGTAGTACATGAAATACAACTCTTTCCTATAGAGCAGTTTTCATACATGAACATGCATTTAAGTCACGTGGAGAGCTTGTTATAGCACAAGTTGCTGGACTCCATTCCCAGGGTTTCTGATCAGTAGAACTAGGGTGAGCTGCTTTTTTTCTTTTTCCTTAAAAATTTTGTTTATTTATTTGAGAGAGAGAGCGCACAGAGCAAGAGAGAGAAAGCACGAGCAGGTAGAGGGGCAGAGGGAGAAGGAGACTCCCCATTGAGCAGAGAGCCCAACGCGGGGCTCAATCCCAAGACACTGGGATCATGACCTGAGCTGAATGGGGGCACTTAACCAACTGAGCCACCCAGGTGCCCCGGGTGAGCTGCTTTTCTAATAACTTTCTGGGTGGTGGTAATGTTCCTTGTCCACAGGCCACATTTTGAGAAACAGTGCTCTATTAGAGCACAGGTTGTCAAATGAGGGCAATTTTGCTCTCCAGGGAAAGTAGGCAGTGAATGTATATATTTTTGGTTGTCACAACCTGGAGCGATGGGATTGGGGGAAGAGGTAATATCGGTACCTAGTAAGTACAGACCAAGGATGCTGCTAAACACCCTATAATACACAGGACAGCTCCCCACAACAAAGAATTATCTGGCAAAAAATGTCATTGGTGCTAATGTTGAGAAACCATGCTATCAGAGTAAAATGTAACTTACTCCAAATATATGATTTGACCATTCAGTTAGTGCAAGTTCTTCAGTGAGTTTCAGAAATTTGACATGCAATATTATTTTTTATTTAAAATTATATTTTCTTCAAGTATTAAAAATTCTTTGAATTTCACTCATCCATAACAAATTTTAGAAATATTAATATTTAAAGGTATATTGGGCTACAGAAAGAAATAAGCATTTATGTAATGTTATTGGTAGATTTCTAGTAAAGAAATATAAATTAACATTCATTTTGCAAGAATTATAAAAACCTAATTATATCAAAAGACTTTCTTGAAAAATAATGATCAATGTTTATTTCTTAAGTTGAGTAAAAAGCAAACAACTGTTCATTTTACCATTACATATATTTAGTATAAGTGAAATATCTTGTAATAAACAATTTATTTAAGGATAAGCAGTGATCGTAGCAGTAATCAATCCTAAGATAATATATCTCATGAAAATGTACTTTATATATACATGCATGTGTAGACACATATTTATATCCATACAACACACTACAAATGCGTGCGCATGCACGCACGCACACACACACACACACACACACACACACGAACTTACTCCAGTAGGCTGAAAAATAAGTCCATCCATTTCATGGCTGACTTCTTTGGCAAAATTTCCTTCAAGTAACTATAAAATAAATACACATATTTTTACAAATACAATAATCACTTAAAGAGTATTTTAATTTTTTGCAAACTTTACAAAAATTTCTTATTATATAAGCTTTAAGAAGTGAAATACAAAATGGGGAAGGTATGTGATACAGAGGGATCTGGGTTAACATACTGCAAGATTTTTTTTAACATATAAGGACTGTCACTCCGTGGCAGGCTAGGTACCTTGAACAACAGTCATAACTAAAACAACCAAAATGATGGATAAAATATTAAAAACATATTTTTAAATGCATTGATGAGCCAGCATAAAAGGAAGGAAAAGAGAGGCCAAAAGTAAAGTGAAAATAGAAATTCTGAGAAGTAATAAATACAGGGAACAAAATATAAAACATACACAAAAAAGGAAACTGCAGAGAAACTTGCGAGGGATAGATGGAGGCTGGGGGGCAGGGGAGACATCCCCTGAGAATCTGTAACCTTAAGTGAACTCAGACATGGGATCACGGTCCAAAAATATATTATCTGTGTCTTCCCCAAACCCACCAGCAGAGGATTTTTTTAAAAAATTTTTTGTCCTACTTTTTGTTTTGTTGTCTTTTTTGTATTTTTTCAAGCACAGAAATGCATTACAAGGGATACACAGTATAAAATACAAATGACAGTTTTTTTCAATGTCATTAAAGAGTAGGTATAGCCCCAAAGCTAATGAGAGATCATTAGTTCTGAGCAAGTAGTTTTAAACGCTTCTTTCACAGATTTTTATTGTTTTGAAGAACTGAACATGCGTATCACTGATGGAAGCCCTAAACATTGATTCCTGTATTTCAGAGAGCCAGAGTCTGACCAATTTACAGCACAGTCAGGATAGGTCTGGGATTCAAATACATTGTATCCAAAATTTCAGATATGCTGTGTCTGATACATCTTTTTAATCACAATCACATCCTCTTGAAACCACTTCATCTACAGGGAGATTTGTATTCCAAAAGCAACAACCAAAATTTCAAGTTTATTTCACATGCAACAAAATCTGAGTCTCCTCCCAAACTGGCTTCATCTTCTCTGCTACTTCATTCTTCAAAATCTGTAATTTCTCTAAACTGAAGGCAGTTCAGCAAAGAAAAACAAGAGCAATCCTACTTTCTAACTACTTTAAGAGCACTCTGGGTTTGCATATTAAATTCCCTTAAAACTGTAAAGCTCCTTAGTCAAATTCATAGGGACAGAAATTAGGGACCCTGCGCAGGAGGCGGGGGAGGGGGGCGGTGAGGGAAGAACAAGGAGTTAGTGTTCAATAGGCACAGAGTTTCATTTGGAAAGATGAAAAAATCTGGAGATGGATAATGGTGATGGTTACACAACAATGTGAATATCCTTAATGCCACTGAACTGTATGCTTAACGATGGTTAAAAAGTTAAATTTTAGGGGCGCCTGGGTGGCTCAGTCGTTAAGCGTCTGCCTTCGGCTCAGGTCATGGTCCC